CTCCAAATTTTATCCTAACATGTACACTTGTTGTAAACAATTATTAGGATTCTTAAAATCTATTTTCAAATCTAATTAGATAATTTTAAACTCCAAAAATAGTTAAAATCAAGGAGATCTATAAACATATGAAAATCTTGAAAATGGACGGCCTAGATAATGTGTTGCAATATGCACTACTTTTGATACTCAAATTTTTTTTTTTTTATATCCATACATCTCGATGTCAAGATGATAATAGAGGGGTTTTCAACTATAAAACAACCTTTCCGATAGATTTTTGAGGTGCATCTGTAATTTTACATTTTAAGGTTGCAACCTTATATAAACTTTTCCCTTTAAGTTTTTAAAATTTAAAATTAAAAGTCAAAGTTGGTTAAAAAAAAAAGAAAATCGTGTCTACACGAACCCAAGACTATGCAAAATTCAAATAATTCATTGTTGTCACTTTCTCTTTCCTCATATCTCTCACTTTATCTCTACTTTATGGGATTCTCTCTTAAGCTCTTCTGTATGTTTTTTTCTCTACTTTCAATACATTAAAATGAGGGTGAGTTTCGTATAAGGTGTCATCCTTAAACTATCACAGTAAGGTGCACCCCAAAATGAGAGTGGGGTTTGTATAAGGTGTCAACTTTAAACTATCATTGTAAGGTGCACCCCAAAATTTCATTATAAGATATATTTTAGGGGCCAAAACTCTTATGATCGGCTTAAGATGTATTTTTCACCCCTATTATGAAATTGAAAGCTCCAAAAATATTGCAGATCTAGCAAGTCTATGAGCACTTAAATATCTTGATAATGAACGGTCTAGATAATGTGTTACAATATATACTATTATTTTTTTGAAAGACAATCACAGATTTATTACTCATTCAAATAAGATTACATCATTAGAAATTAAGAGGGACTCAAGGGAGACACCACCCTTGGCTAATGTATCAGCAATAGCATTAGCTTCCCTGTACACATGGGAAAAAGTAACAGAAAAAACGGAAAAAAAATCTAAAATCTTCAACCAAAAGGAACGTAGATCCCACGTAATTAACTGCTCTTTTGTACACCATTGGATGATATTCAGATAATCCCCTTCAATCAAGCACGAAGAGCCCATATTCGTCTCAACAAAGATCTCAATCCCGTTCAATAAAACCCGTAGTTCTGCCATATTAGCCGTAACCACTCCAATTGGACATGCATAAGAGAGGAGGACAGAACCAGTGGCATCTTGAAACACTCCACCAATACCAACAGGGCCCGGATTACTAAAAGAGCTTCTATCGAAATTCAGCTTAATGCAGCCAATTAGAGGAGCCACCCAAAGGCCTTTTGGTTTACATCTATGAAGACTCAGAAGGAATAAATTAAGAAGGTTAACCACTACATCCACTTTAGAAATACCCCTCCCTATCTTAGAACAAGATGTACTATTATTAATACTCGAATTCATTTTATCTTTATATTCATACATATCGAATTAGAGATGATCAATTGGAGGGTTTTCTAATAAGGAAACAACCTTTTCTGATGAGTTTTGAAGTGCATTTTAGTTGTACAGTATAAAGTTGACACTTTATATAAACTTTTTTCTTCAAATAATTACGGGTTGTCATTTTCTCTCTCCTCTCTCCATCTCTCTCACTTGCTCTTTTTCTTCAAATAATTACGGGTTGTCACTTTCTCTCTCTTTTCCTTCAAATAATTACGGTTTGTCACTTTCTCTCTGCTCTATATGTTTCTCTTTACCTTTGATATATCTCTTTATTTCTCTTTTCTCTCCTGTCTCATTTCCCTCTTGAACTCCACATTTAATTTTTAATTTTTTATATATATTACAAAAGATATTTTTATTTTTTAAAATAAAAAACCCCAAAGTTTACCCCAAATCAGCCAAAGTACCCCAAATCAGCCAAAGTACTACAAATTACTTCATTTTCCATACCAAACTGAAACAAGTTCTAAACCAAAATTGACAACATTGATCTAAAGAAGGGGCCCTTTGGAAGAGATATTTAACTACCACTATACTATAGTGGCATGATTGATTTGTGTGAAAAATATTTTCTAGAAAATACTTTCATATGAAAAATTCTCTTATGCGGTCAAATTTCCGAATATTTTCTCACCAATTGGCAACTAATTGATGTAAAAATAATCCCACGCTTTACCGCATGAGAGAATTTTTCACGTGAAAATGTGTTTTTAAAAATATTTTCATGCAAACCAAATTTGTCATAAGGGCTCGTTTGACTCTTTGGATTCAGATTTTTAAAAATAACTTTTCTTAGAAAAAGCCAGGCAGTCGTGTTTTGTTCATTTAGAAATTGACATTTCTAGTGGAATTGAGATTTCCATGAGAATCCTGAATGCTCGTTTTAAGCCAAAATTTTAGAAATCACATTTCTACCAAAACAGGTGGAATTGAAATTTCATGGAAACGAGCCATTTTGCTGCTCAAGAACGAAAACATATTTAAATTTTAGAGAGGGAAGCTATATCAAATTTTAGATAGATAAAATATATTAAAATTTTAGAGAAGAAAACTATATCAAATTTTAAACAGAGAAATTATATAGAATTTTTTAGAGAGAGAAAATACATGGATTTGTTAGAGAGAGAAACTATCTTAATCTTCAAGTTTCATAGAGAACATCTCAAAGTTTTAGATGGAGAAACTACATCAAATCTTAAGTTTTAGAAAGTATCTAAAAATTTTTTCTACTTAAAATTTTTTAGAGAGAAATATCTCAAAACTTATAGAGAGAGAAACTATCTTATATTTAAGTTTTAGAGAGAGAAAGAGAATATATTAAAATTTTAAAGATTATAAACTATATCAAATTTAGACCGATAAACCACATGAAAATTTTTAGAGAGAGAAATTATCTCAAAATTTTAAGTTTTAGATAAAGAAACTATCTTAAAACTTTAGAGAGAGAAACTATCTTAAAACTTTTGAGAGAGAAACTTTATCAAATTTTAGATAGAGAAAGTACCTGAAATTTTTAGAGAAGGAAAATATTTCAATCTTTTAGATAGAGAAACTATCTCAAATTTTAAGTTTTAGATAGAGAAAATACCTTAAAGTTTTAGAGAGAAACTATATTATATTTTTGAAAGAGAAACTACCTAAAATTGTTTTGAGAGTGGAACTATCTCAAAATTTTTATAAAAAAAAACTATCTCAAATTTTAAGTTTTAGAGAGAGAAAGTATCTCAAAATTTTATATAGAGATATTAATAAATTTTTAGAGAAAGAAGATATCTAAAATCTTTTATGGAGAAAAACTTTCTCGAAATTTTTAGAGAGAGAAACTATTTCAAATTTTAAGCTTTTGAAAGAGATTGTATTAAAATTTTCGAGCAAAAACCATATCAAATTTTAGATAGAGAAACAAGCTCAAAAATTTTAAAGAGGGAGAGAGAGGATTTGCAATTTAAAAAAAAAAGATATTCTAAACAATCCAAACAATGAATTTGCAATTCCCTCATATGTGAATTTGCAATTTCCTCAATGGATACACTTTTCCAGATGATCGAAAAAAACCAAGAACCAAGCACACGCAGGATTTCTACGAAATCTTAGGGGCAGTTTCGTCCATGTCTCTTTTGAAGGTCTTAACCCGCGTACTCAAAATCGCAAACCAGAAAGGCACGCTCTCAGTGACAAGCAACGTCACTTTGGTTCGTCTCTGGTTTTCCTCCCCTGAAACCCAGACGATCTAATCACCCAATTATGACTCCAATCTGCGAGGAATTGGAAACACAGCAACTGAGCACCTCGGAATCGCCTAGCAATAGCAAACCAGAAGCAACGATCGGAATCGACTGGGCCCCTCAGATCGGCGACGAACTGGATCTAACTGCTGAGAACAAAGCTGATTCTCAGATCGGCGATGAATTGAAGAGAGCTATTGAGAGCGTCGGTGGAAATGGGACGAGTGGGGAGAAATCGAAGGCAGCTGAAGGAGAAGCAATGGAGAGTTTGGATGAGAAAGAGGGAAATAAAGGGGAAAATGTGAGAGAAATTGAGAGTGTGGAGAAAACGGTGAGAGAAATTGAGAGTTTAGAGAAAAATGCAGACAAATCAAATCGATCTTTAACTATGAGGGAGCTCTTGAATGAGTTGAGGGATGAGGATACCGGATCGATAGGAGATGGTTATGGTGGTGAATTCCTTAGAAATGGTGCATCTTCTGATGCTCAGAGAGGAGATACCAGCTCCTCTTACAGGTGAGACCTTGGAAATGTGATCCTTGAGGGATTGATGTTTTTTTCTTACTTACTAATGGATCTGGATTTCGTAGAGTGATTTGCCGGAGAATACTTTTTATCTAGAGGTGTTCTTGTGTCTCTTATTGTTCTTCTCTTATGTTCTTCCTGTGATTTGTGCTCCTTTAGTTTGAATTGAAGCGTAATTGTGGGAGAATGTTTTTTGTTTGTTAGAGGTGTTAGCGTGGCTGGTTTTGATCTCAATTCTGTTTCAGGTTATTATTTTGTGGTGCCTGTTTCTCTTATAATGTTGTGGAATGATATGAGGTTGATAGCTATGGTAATGTTGGCGAGGAAAATACCTAACAACAACAACATTTGTTGTGTCAGTGTAAAATTGTATTTATTGTAATAAATTATGATGATGCTGATTTCTGTAGCTGCAATTTTACTTACCACTTCAACCTAAATTTTAGGAATATAACACAATACAGTGTCCCTTAGTACTAGTACACCTCACAGTAGTGCTTTTTTTTGACTATTAGTGACTTAGGGTTAGCACTTCTCTTAGCATCAGTAGCACTACTATGATCACCTTACTTCTCACTAGCACTACTATGATTACCTTACTTCTATTTTTACTACAACTGTCCTCTTGGCCATAGCCATGCAATCCATATGATCAGTACTATTATTTGGGTTTTGGTAGAAATTTTTATAATAAGTTTAACTTGAACTTTAAGTGGTGTGATTAGCTAGTTATGGATTGTAGAATCCTAAGACTCGGTCTTTCTTGGTTAAGATTAGTGTAATGTGATAAAAGAACCTTCGATTTTGCCAATCATTATCATCATCTTCAAAGTCTTTTCTCAACTAATTGGGGTCAGCTACATGAATCCTGGCTCGCCATTTACCTCTATTAAGGGCTCGCCATTTACCTCTATTAAGGGCCACACCTTCAATGAGGCCATAAGTCCCTATAACACATGGATTCAGCTAATAATACATGATTAATCTGTATCATGCTTGTGACTCTTGAGTGTAGGTTGCAGTCTAATGCATTTGAGCTTTCCCTCTTCTCCACTTACCTCAATCATCACAATGCTCATCGTTTATTCATCAGTGTTGTTTTCCTTGCAATTGCTTGTTTGGGTATTTCTCTTCCATCACAAAACCTTGATGTGCACTCATGCCTTTTAGGCTTGGCACCTATATGTATGGCATTATTTGGCATTAACTATGTAGCAATGTAATTTTTTATGTAATTTTTTTCTGTCCAAGTCAATTTCCTTCTCCCATGTGAGATAACTTCATAACCAGATAGGGTACTTGTGAAACATCTCTTGTGGTCGGCTTATCAATCCTTGTTCCGCATAAGTGATTCTTGTTTCTATGCTATTCAAAAGTTGGCGGCCTGGCTACCTAGGGGGTAGCCTTCCAAAATGCATAGTTTTGCCCTAGGCGGACTGCCTAGGTGATCTTGCTTCTAGGCGACCGCTTAGGTAGTGACGGAGAAAAAAAATTTCAAAATTCAAATTACAATTTTATTATTATTATTTTTTAAGTTTATCTTTTAAATTTAGGAATAGGAGGTGCGCAGGGATAATTAGGTGGGCATGAGTTTATTTTGTGTGTGAATTGATATTGATCAATTGGGTTGGTTGGTTGGTTTCTAAAAAAAAAGAATATAAATAAGATAAGGTTAAATCTAGTGGGGGATTATCTTTTGCAACATTTTACCTATAGGGGGAGGCTTTGGGTAAAACGTGGGCTTTCTATTTAGAAGCAAATCTCTTTGGAATGTGGGGTTAAGAGATAGAAAATAAGGATGAGAGAGAAAATAGGTTAAGAGAGAGAAAATAGGGAGGAGTGATAAAATAGGAATGCAAAAAGGTTTTTTTCTAGCGATTCTTTTAGTTATTGTTTATCTTTTTTTTTTTTAGTCTATTTAAAGGAAGATGTCCCTTCATTGTAAATCAGTGAATGAGTTGAATAAAATTTGGTCTCGTGAAGATATTGTTTTGGGGTGGATTCCCTTGCAGACCTTGAGAGAGGATATATTCTCTCAACGTTTTCTTTTTTTTTATTTTTATTGTTCCGGTTCAATTTCTCCCTGCATCAATTGGTATCAGAGCAAGTTAGATCCAGATAGAGCAAGTCAAGAGAGCAAGTAAAATTCATAGATCTAGGTTTTTTTTGTACAATGCCACCAAAAGCTAATCTTATTCCTGCTATGGACGATCGTTGGGGACAAGCTATAGCAAATTTGACTAAAGCCCTGGAGGAAGTTCGAACCGAAGTATGTGAGATGAATCAGGGAATGCAACGATTGGATCAAAGGCTGCAACGGTTGGAGAACAATGTTCCTCGTGAAGAAGGTGCTCGCAACCACATTGATCTTGCATTAGTAGTCCCACAACAAATCCAGGTTGTTGATTTTGAGCATAATGAAGATTACAGGCCAACTCTGCGTCCTTTAGAGCGATCACGAGATTTTGGTACTAAAGTCGATCTTTCGGAATTTCATGGTAAGCTCTCCATTGAAGGTTTTATTGATTGGTCAAGTGCAATTGAGAATTATTTTGAATGGAGTGAATTGCCAAAGGTACGCAAGGTTAAACTTGTTGCTACCAAGCTTCGCAGGTATGCTGAAGCCTGGTGGAAGCAAGTTCAACAATTCCGACTTCGTAGTTGGAAAGGAAAAATTACGAACTAGTAAAAGATGAAAAAGAAACTGAAAGAAATTTTTTTTCCTGCGGATCATGAGCAAATTTTCTTTCAAGAACTCCAAAATTTTCGATAGAGTGAGAAAAAAGTGGAAGATTCTATGGGAGAGTTTTATTGATTAGTTGCTCGAAATAACCTCCACGAAACGGAAGGACAAAAGGTTGCTCGATATGTAAATGGCCTTCATCCTACTATTAGGGATGATGTTTTTCTACATCGACCAAGTGAAGCTTTTCAACTTGTTTTGGGAGTAAAAGCTAAATACCAAGGGAGCACCGATAAGCGATTTTACACCTAGAAGGAGGTTTTTGCGCCAATCGAAATTTAATAAAGAAAACAAAGATACTGCAAAGTTTATGTGTTATTAATGTAATGAACAAGAACATTGTGCGTATGAATGCCCAAAAAAGAAGATGGAGGTACGGTTGGCTAAGGACGAGGATAAAGTTCCAGAAGAAGATCAAGTTCAAGAAATAGTCATCCATAATGATGAAGAAGGAGGTCCGCTTTGAATCAAGCTTCTCCCAACCTCAAGAGAATGACATAGAAAAAAAATTCAAAATTCAAATTACAATTTTATTATTATTATTTTTTGAGTTTATATTTTTATTTCAAGAATAAGAGGTACGCAAGGATAATTAGGTAGGCATGAGTTTATTTTGTGCATGAATTGATATTGGTCAATTAGGTTGGTTAGTTTCTAAAAGCGAAGAATATAAATAGGATAGGGTTAAATCTAGGGGGGTTTTATCTTTTCAACAATAGGCAACGTTTTTCCTTGAGGGGGAGGCTTTGGGTAAAACGTGGGCTTTCTATTTAGAAGCAAATCTTTTTGCACGTGAGGTTAAGAGATAGAAAATAGGGACGAGAGAGAAAATAGGGAGGAGAGATAAAATAGGAAAGTCCGTGCAGAGAGGTTTTTTTTTCCGTGATTTTTTTTAATTATTGTTTTTCTTCTTTTTCTGAGTCTATTTAAAAGGAGATCTCCCTTCATTGTAAATCAGTGAATGAGTTGAATAAAATTTGGTCTCATGAAGAGATTGTTTTTGGGGTGGATTCCCTTGCAGACCTTGAGAGATGATATATTCTCTCAACCTTTTCTTTTTCTTTTTATTGTTATTATTCCCGTGTTATTTTTCTCCCTGCATTAGGTAGTCACCTCAAGGTGGTCGCCTAGGCGGCGCCTCGATGAAACTTGGCCTGAGGGCATAAGAAGGCCCTCGGTCAAGGGCAGAAAAGTACTTTTTTCTCTTTCTAGGGGGGAAAAGGTTTTTTGGGGGCCAATTCTAGCTCCCCAAACCCCTATGAACCTAGTGCCAACAGAAAAAGAAAAAAAAAAAGGAAGGCATGAGCTCCCTTAAAAAATTAAAAATAGTTAAGACCTACAAAAATGGTTAAGGACTTAAGGCCCTCCTCTCTCGCTCACAGGTTCCTATGCTCTCTCTCTACATATGAGAAGAAGAAGAAAAAGAAGATGGCCACAAAGTCTCCGATGCAAGGCCTCTCTCTGACACACACGCAGTCACCCACATTCATAGACACACACATGGACCCTTATGCTCTTACTATACATATATGAATGACCTCCAAGTGTTTGGTGTAAGCCCTCTCATTCATGGACTCATATTCTCTCTCTCTCTCTCTCTCTATATATATATATATATATATATAATCCTCCCCCCTCCCAACAAAAAAAAAGAAAAAAAAGAAAAAATAAAAATGCCTTAGGCAGCTGTACAGCGGCTGCCCAGCCGTGTAGGCTGTTAGGACCCCTGGCCAGCTTGGTGGCCACCTCCATTGTTTTGAAGTCCTTCAATGTTTATTGAAACCTGTGAAATACTCATCCCCTGGTTTCGGGAGTGTAAGTTGAATTAGTTCTATAAATATAAAAAATTAGGATGTTGTGTTAATTTTTTTTTTATTACTATAATTTTATTGTGTTGATCTAACCAAAGTCTTCTCTCGGAATGTGGTAGTGTTGTTGTATTACGTAAGTGATGTGCTCGTTCCCGCGCTAAACACTTATCTTTTATATTTGTTCTTACCAAAATTTTTGAAAAACTAGTCAATTTTCCCAATTTAATAACTACTTTATTGGCAAGTTCACTCGGTATTGTTAGTGACTTAGGCAGCCACTGAGTTTGAGTTTTTTAAAAATAATTGAATACCATTTCACCCAAATTGAGAGCATTTATTTGCTTCTTTCTCAAGGTTAAATCATCTTGGAGATTGTTTCATAGTAATGATGTTGTCGAAATCAAATCTATTTTAACATTGCAGGGTCTACTGTTGGG